CCCTGAGGTCTCGGAGTAGGGGGAACCAAGACAGACCCGGGAAGATGCATGGCAGTAACACCAGAAACATGGCGGGGTCAGCTGAAGAAGATGCCAGACTCAAGTTTATAGACTGTTAGCTACATGGGGTCAGCTGAAGAAGATGCTCAGAAGGCAAAATAACTAATGATCCATCGGGGTCAACAGTGTCCCAGTTGTAGACGTTGGGGCGCACCTTCATGCAAGAGGCTGACCAGAGGACTCCTGGCTTCAATCCCTATATCCTGAGAGGTAGGTTCAGAACATGTATGAGTAACTACTGCTGCAGTAGATGAAGGAGAAGGGCGAGGTTCCTCCGACCTTTCCATATGTAGCGTTCACCCCCGAAGGAGCCGCTGAGTATGATATAGGGTTCTCCTACCTGTTTGCCAGCCACCGGCCCACTTGCTTAGATTCAGCACACCGACCCACCGATACAGAAAGAGGCTCGAGTCTCGGGGTCTTTTAGGGTATTTATTTGTAAATTCAACAGGAGAGGGCTTAGGGTCTGTAGAATGCCCTGGTGGATTCTTCTGAGGACAGCTTTCTCCCCTAGCAACCGCTAAGGCCGACAGCACTGTGATCTGGTCCCAGGGACCAATAGTAGTAGCAATAATGCGAACAGCCAGGATGATCCAGTAGCTTATATGGAGAAGGTTTGCTATCTCTGGACTCAGGTAAGGACCGCTGGCTTCTTCTCGAACAGATACCTGGAATAGGGTGAGGGGTCTCCCTTGTGGGTCCCAGACGGACGCTCGCACCAGCTCCTCTGTGGTACCCCTCAACAAGAAGACTCCCCCTCCGACCCCGCTTCCATCAGGTCTTTTCCTCTTCAGGATCTGGAATCTCTGTGCCCTCAGCATCTGCAACTGCCAAGGAGCACTCCAGGTTAGTGGTAGTATCTTCTTAGAACAAGGCACCCATCACCTGCCACGTGTATGTGGCCCAAGCAAAGTTCCTATGGAGTCCTAGCCATGTGCTGAGGCCCAGGCCATTTGCTCTGCATCACACACAGACCTCCTAGGGTGAGGCCCCTAGGGGGAAGAGACCTCTGCACAATGTCCCCAGACCTTTTATTACCTGCCCTCAACCATGCCTCTGAGTCATCCTACTCAGGGATTGGCTAGGGTCAGGTGCATGGTCATAACCTGAGGATGTAGATGAGAGGAGAGCCGAGTCATGTGATCTCTGAGGTGTCTATCAAGGTGTGCTTCTTCCCAGGGGGACATCTCTGACCATTTCCTGTACTCAGGACACTACACCTCCAGGGCTGTGCGGGCTTCTCTGATGTTTGGTAGGACGAGACTTCTGTGAGAAACGTTTCCCGTGCTCAGGGCAGGAAAATTGGACTTCTGACTTACCGGTAAAATGTGTTTCTTGGAGTCCAGTACAGGACACCGGTAGATTCAGAGATGACGGGTAATATGGAGGTGTCACCAGGTGATTGGGCACTGGACAGAGCTGCATGGACCCTCATATAGCCCCTCCCCCTCCGGTAAATCCTCCGTTTTCTGGCAAGCCATAGAGGGGCGGGTGCCGTGTTCTCTATGTACTCCAATAATGGATTTTACTGGTAAGTCAGGAGTCCTATTTTCTTGTTCATACCGCACAGGACACGGACTATTCAGAGACGACTGGGACACCCCAAAAGCAACAGAACAGAGAGGTGGGCAACTCAGCAAAACAACCGCCAACCAGACCCAACAAACAACTCAAGGAAAAGCTCCTCAGATGGCAGCCCGTACCACCTCACACCAAGACTTGCTTCCACAGAGGCACGACCATCCCCCTGATAGAACTTAGAGATCATGTGACCAGAGTAGCAGGTGTCGGCTTTACAAATCTGCAACAAAGATGCCTGAGAGGCACCGACGGCTCTAATGGAATGATAGGCGGAGTCCTACCCTAGAGAGAGTAGGCATGCACAATGACCCGTCCGATCCACCTAGAATATAGTGAAACACGACGCAGGGCGGCCACTGTGAGGTCCATCAGGAAGGACAACGCAAGAATCAGACTGACAGAAAGAAGCTGTGACTGAGAGATAGACCCGGGGAGCCCTAACCACATCCAAACCATGGAGAGCCGCCTCCTTAGTATGCTTCAGAGGCAGACAAAAGGAAGGAAGAACAATGTCTACATTAGAATAGAAGGAGGACACCAGCTTAGGTAGAACAGACTCCCAGGTCTGAGAACTTCTATATCGTTGTGTAACACAAGAAACGTAGCCTTACATGGAAGCCCCACCAACAAGGAAACCTGAGCAAGGCGTGAGAGGAACTCTTCCTAGAAGACCCCTGAGTAGACTCGGATGGAGGGACCTTTGGTTTTGGGATTGCTGGGTAGGAGTACTCTTGCCACCCTCAATCTTTTTGATAAAGACGTCCTACTCCTTCACTGACCAGATGTTCTCCCGCAAAGTGAATCCTTTCCAGCTGCTTTCTACATGCAGGCTCCGCCCACCAATATTAAAGCCAGAAAATCCTGAGCATCTAACCTGACAGCAGAGGAAGAGGAGTCCACCAACCCATCCACACAGAAACGCAATGCTCCAGGTGTCATTTCCTGCTGCATCCATTTATGTAGAACTAGGATTCAGTTCAGAGCGCCAAAGCCTGACATATTTCCATCGCTACCAGTGCAGGCTGCAGGGGAGGCCACATGAGAGCAAACACATACATACAACATGTCCGTGGCTGGACATGGCCAGAAGAACTTGAGAAGAATCGATGAGACAAAAGGTAACTAAACTACCGCACATCTCCATCAGTAGAGAGGAGACGTCCATCACCTAAGGGCACTACCAAAAAAAAAATGAGGATTTCCTGAAGGGGGAGGGGTTATATGAGGGTCCTCACAACTTTGGCCAGTGTCCAATCACCTGATATCTGCATATAGAAGTCTCTGGATCTGTCTGTGTCCTGCACTGTACCATCAAGAAAACAGCTTTACCCACGTGTCTCATCTGATGTTTAATATGATGGGAGTTCCATGAGAAACCTTTTCCACACGCAGGACAGGAATACGACTTCTTGCCCTTGGGCAATCTCTGATATAAAAAAGATGGATCTCCTCTGAAAAACATTTCCCTCACTCATGTGAGATCCATAATGTATGAGCAGTTGATGAAGAAATCACTTCCCACAATCATTGTAGGAATTTAGATTCTTACCCGTGTGCAAACATCGATGACTGAAAATATAGGCTTTCCGTGAATAACCTTTCCCACACTCGGGGCAGGAATATGGCTTCTCGCCTGTGTGTACTCTCTGATGTGTAATAAGAGAGGAGCTTGTTGAAAAACATTTACCGCACTCAGAGCAGCAATATGGTTTCTCGCCCGTGTGTATTCTCATATGGGTGGTGAAATTGGACTTACTTGAAAAACATCTCCCGCACTCGGAGCAGGAATATGGCTTCTCCCCCGTGTGTATTCTATGATGTCGGTTAAGATAACACTTTTGAGCAAAATGACTCCCACACTCGATGCAGGAATACAGCTGCTTCCCCGTGTGACATTTGTAATGTGTGACAAGGTCTGATCTCCGAAGAAAACTTTTCCCGCACTCATAACAGTAAAAAGACTTGTCACCAATGTGAGAACTCAGATGAACACAAAGAGTTGATTCAGAGGTAAAACTTTCCCCACACTCAGAACAGGGAAATGTCTGCTCCCCCTGAATTCCGGCACCATCCCCCACAGGACGAGGTTGCTCAGAGTCAGAGGGATTCCATGCTCTATCCACACTGTGAAGTACACCATCCATAGCTGAGCTCATTGTCTCTTCTCCCGCACAATCTGCTGTGATGTCCTCATCTTCCATCTTACAACCTGGAGATAAAGTCAGAGTATCCTTTGAGGGTTCCTCCATGGCGTGTCCTGGAAACATAGAAACACATGATGGAGAGATATGAGAGGGTTAGATGACTTCAATCAACATTCCATCTGGATCAGGAGGTCTGAGGGAGCAGATGTTCTCTGTGGAGGTCCCAACCATCCGGGACTCCTCCACTCCGGTCAAAGGGCCTTCAGTCAGAGGGTTAGATGAATCTCTTATCATATCTGTGCTACTGGAACTAGGAGTGACACCCAACCCAATACTGCCAGCTGAGCCCCAGGACGGGTATCAGTACAGGGAGGTGACCATTACCAACCTACTGTTGGCTGATATCACTCAGATCCCGGCCTACTCTGGACCAATCAGTGTGCAGAAACAGAGAAGAGATAAGAGAAGAATATATTAGGGGTCACCTGTGCTGATCTCTGTAGGAGTGTCCTCCTCTATGAGTGTCCTCGTCATTCCATCCTCCTCCGTATGTTGCTGATCATCCCTCACATACGTCTCTTCTACGTCACCCTCAACTTTCACCTTCATCAGATCTTCACCCTAAACCAACAGAATGGCAGAAAGTCTCATCTTGTAGAGTCCACACATCATCTCCACATGTCAGAGTCTTCAATCACTCAACTCCACCTACCTGATCATGGTGGGGGATGGTGAGATCTTCCTGTGTGGAATCCCGGGAATACAGAGGACGGGGACATCTCTCTGGTGGGTTCCTGTTACTGGATGACTCCTCCAACACACCATCCTCATCCTCCTCTTCTTTTATCTCTTCTTTTACAACGATTTTAGAGTCACTCCGGTTTCCACTCTGAATATAGAACACAATGACATCAGTGGTGACAAGGTAGATGATGTACAGATCCCAATGATACCATCAGTGATGGTTCATCATCTACCTGATCATGGTGGGGGATGGCGTGGTCCTCCTGTGTGGGATCCCGGGAATACAGAGGACGGAGACATCTCTCTGGTGGGTTCCTCTTACTGGATCCATCTGTAGGAAACACACACACTGACTGAATACATTGTTTCTATGTGTGTATCAGATGATGGGGGATGTAGGCGGAGCCTCCGTACTGCTCTCTCCTCTTACCCGGTGATGGGAAGTTTTGGCAATTTTCTGTCTTTACATCTTTAAAGAAGTCCTTATTGTCTTCTAAACACCCCCAACCCTACAAAACAAGACAGAGACATCCTGACACCTTATAGGAACCTGACACACACAATGATACCGTCACCACCCAGACACATCCCTTGTCTGTTCCTGGATCATGTCCCAGAATTCCCGGCATCGCTCACCTCTCCTGCCAGCAGCTCCATCATCTTCTTGGTGACTTCCAGAATCTTCTCCATGTTGTGTCTCTCGGGTTTAAGGGAGTCACATGGAGGCACTGTGATGGTCACATGATCACCTGACTTCAGAAGAGGAAAACTCTGGATGGAGGAACCAATAGGAATATCATGTTAGAATCCCAGAATCCTCCTCACCTCTCCGGTCAGGTCATGTGATCTCTCAGAATCCTCCTCACCTCTCCGGTCAGCAGGTAGATGATCTCCAGGGTGAGGTTTAGTATCTTCTCAGTCATGTGACTCCGCTCCTCCTCCATCTTCACTGGTGTGGTCATGTGATCTCTGTGGACAGATGGTGGAGAATTATCTGGTTGTATAATATTAGGATGGGGATATAGGGGGGTAATAGGTGGGCTGCCCCCCAGTGGGAATTGCCCCATGTAGATGGGGGGTCACTCAGTGTTTGTTGGCAGGGCCTGTGCTAGGATTTTTGCCTACACAGGCAAAGGTGCATTTACCTTTGGTGCGGGAGAGCAGCGGCAAGTCAGCGCTGGTCCGGTGGGAGGAGCTCGCTTTACAATGTAAGGAAGACATTACAATTACAATACAATCACAATACAAGATGGTAAGGAGGGCCCGGTCCCTGAGGGCTTACAATCTAAAGGGAGGGGCCTGTGATACATGAGGAGGTAGCTGTGGGAATGAATTGTATGAGAATGTGATGGTTGAGCGGTTAGGTTGAGGTGGGATCGGCTTCCCTGAAGAGATGAGTCTTAAGGGAACGCCTAAAGGCAGTTAGGGTGGGAGATAGACGGACAGGTTGGGGTAAAGAGTTCCAGAGGATGGGAGAGACTCTAGAGAAGTCCTAGAGGAGAGCATGGGAGGAGTTGACTAGGGAGCTGGAAAGCAGGAGGTCTTGGGAAGAGCGGAGGGGACGGTTAGGGTGATACTTTGAGACGAGGTTGGAGATATAGCCGGGGGCGGAG